AAAACATTAGAGCCAAAATCATAAATAGCCAATGCGGAATAAACTCTAGGGGATGCATTATGATCACGTTGGGTTATTCCCTATGGAACCAAAAGTAACTGAAAACATTTTAAACACAAATTGTCAACACAAATCTTAGTGAGTTTCGCAAAATACGACATACCATACATAAGATAGTGAATGCTATGGGCCAAACCACAATCTTCCGGCCATGGGCCGAACATGGTCTTTTATTGCCAATGTTAGGGCCAAATTCCGGTCTTAAAACTAATGCTAAGGGCCAAACCCCGGGTCATCCATGAAAATATCACAAAGACATCTAGCATTCTATATACAAATGCGAGGAGCAAGATCCTTGTCTTTCATAAGTATGACAAGGGCCCTACCATGTGATAGGTTTTGAGCATTGCATCAATCCTATGGTGTACATGCAAACCCTAAAGGTTTGGATCTAGTTTCTCTAATGAACATGCAATAATCATCCAAAGCTCATAAACCCTAGATCTATCATACAATAATCGAATTAACGTATGGATTTGGGTTTAGATCTTACCTTCATTGTTATCTAGCAATGACAATCACAAATCTCCTTGATCTCGACTATTGAAAGCTCAGTGTCTCAAATGTTGCACCTGTAATGGTGTCACAAACACCATGAGCAATAAGATGAACAAAGAGAAGTAGGAGAAGTTACAAAAACATCAAATCATCCTTAGAGATCACTTCGCCACGTTTTGGGAGCCTTAGGGGTCTTTATATAATTGTGAGGGCTACTAGGGGTTCAGGTGAAACCCTAATTCTCTGCTTAAGCCTTAAGCAACCAATGGAGTTCCCCTAGAAAGCCCTTGGACGCAATCCATATGCGCTTCCCAAAGATTTCATCCAATGCCCTTTCCATTAAGAATCCATAGCCTAATTTCAACTATCATATAATTGCAATATCACTCCCCTTTATTTAACTAATCTCTTTTAGCCACAAAATTAATTCTTATTAATTCTTGATTAATAGTAATTAAATTATAAGATTTCTATTTTAATATATTATTCATATAATATATTAATAAATCATAATTAATCCTTTTTCTCCTTAATTCATCCTATCAGTTGCTATGGTGAAGGCAACCCAAAAGGACCATGCTCATAATCAGGTCAAGTACATACCAAAATAGTTATTGGCTTATACACCTAATCCAATAGTCTCCCCCTTGGATAAGTCTAATAACTATTTTGCATATGACTTCAGAACCTGATCAACAATCGTAGCTTTCAAAAGCCACTGTCGAACTCCGATCTTATCAGAAACGTGTCCTTTAGATAAGGGATCATATATTCCTCCATTCTATATATCGTATGAATTGATACATGGATTTTAATCATACTCTCTATTCATGTGTTGTTTCCCGATTTCTGATTTATGACGAATGACAAAAGACTACAATTGAACACATCAACTTATTCCCGACTTGGCCAAGCGCTTAGGTGTGATCACTAAATCATTAAGGGGCCCACGGATATCGCTTCTATCTTACATTGGGTAAAAGGAACGGATAAAATTCGACTCAAATGCTCACTTGTATCTACTCATCAAATTACACACAACAATATGTTTTATAACACCAAGTTATTGGTGCGTTTACATATTATCAATGTGCAGCCGACTTGTAAATTACAACTCACACATTTTCGTTTCAAGAATATAAGATATTATCGTCTCACCAATCACTCGTGATAAAATCCATGAAGCGATCCAAGTGAGATTGGCTTTAATCCAATACTCAAATTTTATTTCATGAGCACTCATGAACCCTGCAGCAAACTTTTGTTATGTCTAAGACACTTTAGACAATCTACACTCAGATTCATGACAGTCTTCTTCCATACCTACTTCCAAAGTATGATCGACTATGGATGGCTTAAATAATCTTATTATTCGGGAAGTCAAAACATGCAAAGTGAAACACAATAATAATCGAATACAATATGGCCCCGTACATTTGAGTATAAATAAAACCCCTTTTCATATAGTCACCATATTGATTACACATTATTCATTTTATAATGTTTCGGATAATCAACTTATTACTTGAATTATAACAACAGTTTTCCCATGAACCAAGCATGCACACTCTGTTTACCTATGGTCCATAGCTTGTGAAATAGATCAATTGAAAAACATTTCCAGAGATACTCATTTCACAACTACTTATCCTTATTGTTAGTGTAAGAACACAACATTCTCGCCACTACTAGAATATGTTAGATTCTAACATTTTATTCTATTATCCTTTCGTAATCTTATTGCACAAAAGTCACCAAGACTTTGCCAATGAAATTACAAAGTTCTCTATATGAGATTGTTACAAGACAATTCCATATATGTGAAGTCTCACATTCAAAGTACATTCCTTTGAACATCCTTCTTGCATTAAAGTCTCAAGTCATAGATCCAAGCTTTTATATTTCGAAATGAAGTATAATATTCTCTCCCTTAATTATAGCAAAACAACTATTCCAAACCTTGAAACTTTTCAAATTGAAACCTTTTGTTTTCTATAATTAATATTGCTAACATGCAACACTTAAAATAATAATCATACTCCCACTAACATGATAATTATATCCATACCAGCATAACATTTATGCTCCAACTAGCTTTGACACGCATTCAGAAAACATTTGGACTTCTAGAAAGCAATACTTATTGACTTCCAAAGTTCATATTTCAAATACGATATGCTTTGATAGGCCTTTAAACTAATTGTAATATCTCACAATTCGAACTATGAAGAGGGATGTCGTAATCATAATAGAATTTCAGAATGCAATTATCACAATTTCTATCTCATAAAAATCTCTCTTAGTGAAAGCTTTCCTCATAATCATTTTCATGAAACAGAGAGAAACCTTATGACACTTAGATTTTATGGTGTATGTGTTCTTATCCATGTGAATTTTTCATAATCATAATCATAAGACAAGGTTTAAGGCAAATCCAAACTCTTATGGACAAAACTTGTTCATTCTTAATTTCTTGCCATCAAGGGTCCCATCATTGCTTCCAAGTTATTTAGCAGATCACCTATACTAGTCAATGTACTTTCATTGAGAACTCGTAGAACTCATATGAATAAGTAACTCTACTGGAATGGCACAGAAACAAGAATATGTCAACACGATAGGTTATAAACCTCAAGTCGTGTGCTAGTGTCTAATAGTTTTACTCTTGATTAGTTCTTCAATCTTTTCAAGATCATTTATACTCCCACTAACCTCTTGACATATAACATTCTCTTGTCAAGAAACATTTCTTATGGTTTTTGAGCATTCTAACAATCCTATGGTGTACATGCAACCCTAGAAACCTTGGATCTATGTTTTCTCTAATATTCATGCAAATAAGAGTTTTCCAAGGTTTGTATCCTCACTAGCATGGCATGGGGTACTTGTAATATAAAAACTAGTAGAATGACATACCTTTGTAGTTGCTAGGATTCCCTAAGACTTTGTGAGCCTAGCATCTCAAATGTGATACCTTAAATGTGTCACACAACACCATAACTCTTAGAATAACTTGAGAGAAGAACACTTTGGCCACAAAATCGGCTAGCCCTCCTTGTCTTGCATTGGTGATGATTTTGCTTACCATGGGGTTCATTATATAGTGTGTCACATGTAGGGTTAAACCCTAATGTACATGACTTTTCATTTCCTCCATGATCTATGGGTTTTAACCTCCATGGAGCATCCATGGAGCACCCAATGGGTCCTAGCCCAGTCTAGTGAATCATGGACCATAAGTAATTAAATAATATAATTTCATATATTTAATTAGTCTCTTTTCTATCACAAAATTAATTCCAAATTAATTCTTGATCAATAGTAATTAAATAATATAATTTCATATTAATATATTAGAACTTATAATATATTAACAAATCGTAAGTGTCATTTTCTCATTTTATCTATCCAACAATTGAGATGTCGATGCAACCCAAATGGACCATGCCAAGCCGGGTCAAGTACATACAAAATATAGTTATGGACTTAGACACCTTATCCAATAGTCTCCCACTTGGATAAGTCTAATAACTATAGGTATGAATTCAAGAACCGACCGACAATTGTAGCTCTTTCAAAGTCTTGCAGAACTAAGATGGTGATGAACCATTTAAGATAAGTGATCATATAATCCTCTGTTCTAGATATCATCCGGACAAATACATGGAACGATGTCGTACTTATTGTCCAACAGTTTGTTTCCCGATTCCCGATTTGTTTGACATAGAACTAAACTGAACACATCAATTTGGTTCTAACCGGGCCAGGTACATAGGTCAAAATAGAATCATCGAGGGGCCCAAATATCGCTTCTAATCTTCCATGGACTAGAAGGAACAGATAAAATTCGACTCATATGCTTGTTCTACTACTTGTTGAATTGTACACAAAGCACGTTTTATAACATCGAGTTACCAATGCGTATTCGTACAATCAATGTATAACCAACTCATAGTCAACAACTCATATCTCTAGGTTTGAAGACTTATATGATGTTACCGTCTCACAATCACTCGAGATAAATTCCATGAAGTGATACAAGTGAGCGTGGGTTTTGTCCAATACTCAGAACTTATGAGCACTCATGAATGTTGTAGCAACTTTTGCTATGTCTAACATCTTAGACATCTACAAGCCCAATTCATGACAATATTAATTCATATCTACTTACAACATATGACCGACTGTGGAGAGTTTGAATAACCTAGTTATTCGGGAAGTCAAAACATGCAAAATTGAAACACAAGAATAATACTAATCCTTTATGGCTACAAGCACCTTTGAGAGTAAGTAAAACACCTTTTATTTAAACACTATATTGATTACTCATTATTCATTGTATAATGTTTCAAATAATCAACTTTATACTTGAATAAAAAAACAATAGTCATGCCATGCTTCAAGTATGTACACTATGTTTGTCCAAACAATAGTTATGCCATATGCCAAGTATGCACACTATGTTTGTCTGTGATCTTTACTTTGTGAAATAGACTAATTGAACATGATTCCAATGATGCTCATTTCACAATCCGAAATCCTTACCGTAAATGTAAGAATACAATATTCTTTGCCATTTACTGAAATCTGTTAGATTCTAAACCTATATGCATTGATCGTCTCGTGATGACTATGCACAAAAATCACAAAGGCTCGTCAAAAGACATTACAGAGTATTACAATGGAGATCAATTCCATGGAAACAAAGTGTCAAATTCAAAGTACATTCCTTTGAATATCCTTCTTGTATTAAGTTTTTCTAATCTTACATAGATTTAATGAATATCTTCCTCCTATGGAAACATTTCAACATTCCCATTCTAACTATCACTTCTAAACAAGAGTTGCCTCTTTTCAGAATATGTCAATATGGTCCTTTTAAAATTAACACTATATTTCTAATTGTCTATTAGCAACCAATCTTTGGTAAACCTCAGATTGTCCTCGACAATTGTTTAATCATTTTAGTCATATACAGTTCTAGTCCTTTTTCCCTCTTAATGCCCTAGGCATTTGGAAAATTTAGAATGGATGAATATTATAACACATGTAATCGATCCTATACCCGAAGCATATGAGACATGATTCATGATGTCTCACATAAAGACATGATCCTAGACCAACCTTTTGCTACAATAATTTTTAGTTGCCATGTTTTCATAATTCGACTATGAAGAGGGATGTCGTAATCATAATAAAATTTTGAGAACACAATATATATATATATATTATATATATATATATATATATATATATATATATATATATATATATATA